AAGGTGGAATCATCTGTAGAGGATGCGACTCCCAAGTCGAGTTTTCCTCAGGAGACGATGGATTCCCATTCCGATCACGGAGGGTCCGAGTCCGTTCAGAAGTTGTTCTGACGCGTATCAACTTGGACGCGATTCTCTCGACGACTTTTCAGCGAGTGTATACCAGAGCGGGCTTCGCATAATCGAGAGAAGGATATCTTTGCTGACCTCGTCCTCTCGTGTATATCCCTCTAATACCCTGTCTTATCAGGAACGTTCCTCGGATGAATCGGAGACATTCAATCATCGCATTCGATTCTCGTGCCCTCTCATGCTCAGGAACGAAGCCCACGTAAAATATTGGGGGAGCATCCGAAACGTGGCGGATTCGCTACCCATGGCTCTCTCGGGGTCGCACAAGCTCACGAGTCATCCAGGTTTTTCATTCAATGTTTCGGAGAACCTTCTCCTGATACCTTTTCGATTTTATGACATTATAACGACGACGGATGTTTTCATCTGCGGTCCACACCCGCAAACACATCCGGTACCGCTTGAACGATAGCGACCATTACGCTCCCAAACTCCTGCATTAGGAAAATGACAGGGACAGGGAAAAACAGCGAGCCGCAGTGCAAAACGTTCGGGCGGCATTCTTATCATTTTTCCGAGGTCTTCTTGCAAGACAGCCATGAAACTTTTTATGGCTCGCCACGCCGAAACGGGCAATTTCTAGAAACAACGTGTTTGGAGTTCACTCCAAACAAACTTTTTCGACCCCCCTCGAATAGAGTGTGCAGAGAACCTCTCGATGCTCCGTCGAGTCACTCCGGGTGATTGTCTGCCCCAACCTGATCCTCTTCGCGGCTTTGATCGGGGTAATCAGTCTCACTCTCTTAGCGGAGCTCATTATCGCGAGCCGATGTCCGCCGACGACTAAGTAGGTATCTATCATTGTAGACAAATCTATCCGGATGATGAGATAATCATACGCGAATTCAGAAAACCACCGCTGAAGGGAAAAATCCCGATACTGATGAGCTGAGAAGAAAGACGATTCCGCCGGGCCGTCCATGAGCGAGCACTCTGCTGGAACGAGCCGGGGAATTCAAATCCGCCCATGTTGTATGCCATGAGTGAGCTTCCTGATACGAATTGACAGCTGATTCGCACGTGCCCTGCGGCAGAACTTTCCCATCACCCTCAGGACACCCATTCCAACACTTCTCTTGAGCTTCCAGTGCCGGTCCAGTTGCGGCCAGTGTAAGGGGAATCGCTCGAGAGCCTGAGGCAATCCAAGAGCGACGTCAGCTCGGAGGCGAAAATTCACGACCCTTGACCGTCGTTCGAAGGGAGTTTACAACTTCACCCGGGGACATCATCCGATCACGAGCATTGCGCTCCCTAAAATTGAAGCCGATAAACGCGGAGACTACTGCCGTGGAACCGAAAATCTAGGGTCGTGCTCGGTTTGGATGGCATACTAGTGACAATCGTGATCATTAGTAGACTCGAGAATCAAGATGCTCCCGAACCAGTTATCGCAAGAAGAAATCTAAACGTCCAAAGGCGTTGGTCTCTGAGGCTCACCGGGGAGGAGTTCGTGAGGGATCTCCGGATCCAATCATCATTGTTGAGGAACGATATCAAGCCGATGAAGACCCGTAGCGAGTATCTCAGTCCCTACCTTCGGAATCGTCCGTTCTAGCAGTCCGGTAAGGCCTCTACGACGATCAGGCTGCCAGAATGCTCAGGGGACGAGCTCATACATTCGCGTATCCCCGGCAGAGAGCTCGAGTTTACGTTCCCAAGGTCCTCCCGGAATTCGCGAATTAAACTTTAGATGGAAAGCGGGCGAACGAATTTTTACGTCGACTGGTAGCATCACTCGGCTATCGTGCTTCATTACGGCGCAGCGACGATGCTGGAACAATCAGCGCGAGCGAGTGCCGCCCGGTCGCTCGACTGTCAGACTGGCAAGACTATCCATTAGATTCTTCGCAAAGTGAATGAATACACTGTGTGACAATCATTTCGTTGGGTTCTCTCCCTAAACGCAGCTTTGAGGGCGCTGTAAACTTTTGTTTGACTTGCATCTAGTTGATCGTCCCTGTAAACTTTCCCTGATTATATGCGGACTGCTAGCGAAGAGGTTGCAAATCATTAGAATTCTCCTTATTCAAAGATCAGGACAGAATCAGGGCTAAAATTGCTGACAATATGCTGAACGACCTGTTTCTGGGTACCTCCTATGAGTTTCTGCGAATCCTGAATAGGAATTCCCGCCCATGCATTTTCAGGAGGAGGGAGTGCCCCCTCGCTTCCCTCCGCCTCCCTCCGTGAATTAAAGACGGAATGAGCCAGAGATGAGAATTCTCCTAGAGCGCTTGAGCGTTGGACACGCTGCTGCGTCAGAGCCACGATATCAAATGGGGAAAGAGGCGGAATCCACCGCGGCAGGTCTGTTTCGCTGGGGGCTGCGTCCCCTCATCCGCTCTCCTTACGTGTGCTTCTCTTATCCCTACGCGTTTCAACCGATTCTGCTCGTTGCGAGTTCCGACCTGGGAACGTAGTCCTGCGGCAACGACGTATCAGCAGCGTAATTTGTTCGAGTGCGAGGAGGCGAAGCGAGCCAAGCACACGCCAACCGAGCGGGGAATCCACCGACGAAGGAGTTTTCGCTGGCTAAGCACTCCCCGAATCCGCTCGACTACGAGAGACTTTCGGAGGCTACAGCTGAAAACGAGACTCGCCGACGAATTGACAACTAAGTCCATAGAGAAGGTGGTGAAACTCGTTCGGAGTGAGAGGCGCTCGCTCTCAAAGTGAAATGAGAGGAAGCTTCCGAGGATAGTGCTAAGTAGAGCGAGAGCTCCGAGTTGCAAAAGAATGATTCTCTCGGCGAAATCGCTTCTCGGTCTGCGGATAGACTCTGAGCGAATGAATCTCATTCCAGAGGAACGGTTTCGAGCGGGATTGCGTAATGTAATAACTTACGACACCGAAATGAGTAATTCATACCCGGAATATGTTTTGCGAATCCATTTTGATTACAACCTGTCCGAGGCCGAGATTTATCTGGACGGATGCGCCTACCTCGACACATACCTCCAGGTGTGTGGCATCCGACGTAAATCCGAGTCGGATATTCGGCTTCGCGTCCCCGTTCCCAGAGTCCGGCGCATCGAGAGATACCCGGACCTCTGCGACGATGGCTCAAGATTCCAGCGAGACTCTCGCCGGAAGTATGTCGTATTGTTATTTCAGACTTCCGCAAATTTTGGAGCGGCGAACTCAGAAGTCCTCAGTGGTTCGGAGCTTCCGGACGTTTGCGGAATTTTACTCGAGTCGAGTGGGAGTGGAGAGCTAGACAATGTCTCCCCTTGAGACCTCTGATGCTGGATACTTAATTCGGAGGCTTAAAATTTAGTCTTGGAGAATAATCCCGGTGTATTTCTAGGGAAACGGAGGCGCTCAAAATGGAGTCGGAGGAGGAGCGGAGAAGCCGGTAAGGCTCTTGTCACTTGAAGCCGATCACTGTGTATGCAGGCACGGGTTGATTCCTCAACGCTTAAACAGGAAGGTGTAGCCTCTGTTTCTACTCAACTGAGGCTCCCAGAGGATTAGAGCTGCTGTCACCTGAGTGGAGGATCCTTCCCATCGAAAGTTACTACAGATCTATATATATAAAAACGTATGTCTGTTTGTCTGGTGTCACCTATAGACTCGAAAACGGCTGAACCGATCGTCGTGAAAATTTAGGAGCGTGTTCTGGGCGATCCCCCGGTGGTTATAGGGGGGTCAGTTCTTCGATGCAATGAGTCCTTCTACCTTAAAAAAATTATTTGAGTGCTCCACCCACGAAAATACGAAAACTCGGAAAAAAATTGAAAAATCTGAAATTCGCAAAATTCACTAACGCCTCACAGTGGTCCAGAATCGGCAAAAAAAAAGTTCGCCACCGAATGCTTCCAAAACGATTTCTCAGCATAGGTCTCGATGCCCGGACTCCATTTTGGGTCTCGGAGGCTGCGCGTTTTGTGCGCGGAGCATTCTAATGGCGATGTTCTCTGACGGGAATTCATCCCAGAATATGGTTGTCCGAATGAAAGGAGAATCACTCCCCGAAGTGAAAAGGAAAGAAAAAGGAAGAAAAAACAAAGAAAAAAGAAAGAAAAGAAGAAAGAAAAAGGAAAGAAAAGAAGAAAAAAAATGGATTTCCCGAGCTAGGCGTCCTGGGGAGCCCTGATCGGTCCTCTTTGGACGCTAGAGATTAGATCGGCCATCTCGGGCTGAGTCTCCACTAGAGAAATCATTTCCGATTTCGCGACTCTGAAAGAGATCTATATTGAAGCGCTGAAGCTTTGAACTCACCCGAACAACAAAGGCGATTAGCCTTTGATGTCTGCACCCCGTCATTTCGGCACCACATGATCCGTCAAGTCCAAAGAAAACTTCTACATCTGTTTGAAGAGTTTGATGCGACATGTGGCTCCATTTGGGTACTTGCATTTCGGGGTTGTAAGTCAAATCACCGACTCAATCGAGCATCCTCTCTGAAGAACGCTCTCTGTCTCTCCACCGGAGCCGTATTTCAGCAACCAACGCTTGGACATGGATGCGCTACGAGCTCTGTGTGCGGAACTCCCTACTACTACTCTGCTTTTTGCTACGTGATCAAAGCCTTCGAGCTAGTTTCGAGCCGATTATCCCCAGAAACTGTGATCAGGGGTTCCAGCCTCCAAGTCTTCCACCATTCTTGAGCGGTACGAGTCTCCGCCCAGGATCGGTTTCCCTTCCGGGCGAGACTCTCATGCTCTGGAATCACGGACTGTGTCCCTGACCACCGTGGTCGCAGGTTTGGTGATACGAGGAGGATTCGTCCCCAAGGAGTGATGGATGTTCGAGAAATCTCAAACCGTGAGCTCGCCGAGTTCGCATTAGAACACAGCAGAGATAGGGCGAGGATACGGCAAGCTCTCGGAGCGCGATTCCCAACCCTGAATGGAGACCAATCGCAGGCCCTCTGGGATTACATGGACCAGTTCTTCTTGAGGAAGCTCGCTGGAAAATGGGCGGCCGCAAACAGGCACGCGAAACGTTTTTTCGACGCAGGGAGTAATCAGGAGTGGTTAGCAAATACCTTCAAAGTGACTCGTGAGGCGGGAAATCGTGGCGAAGGCTCATCTGATGCCGGATATAACCTCTCGCAACCATCTACCCCAGAATCTGTTCGCGGTCGTCCTCGGAAGAGTTTCAGTGAATCTAGCGATCGGGGCCAACGCAGGAAGATCCTAGAAACAAGAGAGGATATCGACCCCGAGCTACTGCGACGAGCAAAACTTATACCCAGCGTCAATCCCCTGAAGGCTCTACAACTCTTGCTCGATCTGAACATAGCGAAGGAACTATACATAGATCTGAGACTTGAATTGAGGAGAGAGCTTGGTTTTGATGCTTTCCCTGCATACAACAAGGTGTTGACTGAGAAGAAACAATGCTATCCGACCAACATCGAGGCAACAGAGAAGCACGCTTCCGTCCCGCTGAAGGATCTCCTTGAGCACTCTGTGAAGCGATTACTAAGCTCGCTACCGGAGCCAGAATTCAACCTGTTGGAGGAGCACTTGACTTTCTTGTCAAAATGGGGTTGCGATGGATCGTCTGGACACTCGGAGTACAAACAGGCGTCCTTGTGTGATTCTCTTTCGGACGGTAATCTATTTATCGTTTCTGTGACCTCTCTCCGACTCAGCAAGACTTCTGACGAAACGGTTATCTTCTGGAACAATCCCAAG